TAGCAGGGACATTGGTCAACAAATTGGAATTCCCAGAGGCTCATTTTGGCTAGGGTCACATGGGCAGTGTCTAGAGAAAGACCTGGGTATGCTGTTCCCACTAAAAGCAAGCAGGCTGATTCCAAGGTCTTTCGCTAAGACAGTGATCATTTTCCTCTCAAACCTTTTAACTGTTTTTTATGCATGGAAGGTACAGTATATAATAAGATAAACATTTAACAAACTGATATTAGATACCTGTTCCAAACCTGTTCTGATTTCATACAAATTTGACTTAATGACAGATTTAGGAATAGAACTTGTTCATAATCCGGGACTACCTGATTATAGTATAGTATTCACACAAAAGCCAAGTCATATAAGACCCTAATTCACAAAACATTGTGTCGTAGATGTTAAGTGATGCTTAACTGTGTATATATATGTATGTGTTTGTATATTGCAGTTGTTAGATGCTGTCAAATTGGTTCCAACTCACAGCAACCCTAAGTACAACAAAACGAAATACTGCCCAGTCCTGTGCCAACCTCGCCATTGTTATGTTTGAGTTCACTGTTGCAGCCACTGGTCAATCCATCTGGTTGAGGGTCATCTTTTTTGCTGACCCTCCACTTTACCAAAAATGATGTCCTTCTTCAGAGACTTGTCCCTCCTGATACATGGTATATATGTTTGTTGTCTAGGGTTTTCAATAACTGATTTTTCAGAAGTAGATCACTGCTGTTTCTCCCAAGGTTCCTTAAGGGGCCTGAAACTTACAGTTTACACTTAGAAATTATGTGTAGTAACCATTTGCAACACTCAGGAACCACACACAAACACACACACAATGTTTGTTGGATTTTATGTAAAGTAAATGAAGAAATGCGCAAGTTCATCATGCCTAGATTCATTTCATTTGTTACAAGATAGTCATGGCAACGCACGCAAGGAAGACTTCCAGGCATTCAATTAGAAGTGGAGAATCAGCAATGTTAGGTGAATTCAACGATTAGGGTTCAAATCAGTAGGCTTCCAGGATGTGTGTTTAACCAGAGGTCTCGTGAGAAAGGCTTGGCCATGGCTCATGTTCCATAGAGGTCCCATGGAGCTGGGTTCAAAAGCGGACCTGCTGGCCAAATTCTGTCTTGGACTCTGGTAGGGGCTCTGGTAGGGTCTCAGTCTTTGGGGAGTTTTAGCGTCTAGATAGAGATGTTCAGACTCTGCATTCTCTGGCTCACTGAGCTGAAGCCCAGGGTTTATTTGTGATTTTCTTATCTGAACTCATAGCTAAGGTCTATGTGATACCGTATCTCACAAAGACTGTCTTACCTCTGCTCTTCAACCTTAGAACTTAGTTGCATATTGGGTCTTTTCTTCAATGTTAGTGACTGAGGCCACTGTTGTTTTTTTTTACTTACTTATGTTTCAAGGTCAATTTACAGTGATTTAGCTAAAGGAGGGGGCTTCAAAACTTTGTGGGAAAATGCCATGAGAGGATAATGGAATTTTTCTTCAAACTTTTTGAAGCCTTCTTATAGGTTACATTTTCATTAATGAAAAGATGCTCAGGCAACGCCAACTTGAAAAAGATGATGATAGTGTTGGTGTTGGTGTTGCTGTTAAGGGGCCATTGAGTCAGTTCCAACTCAAAGTGACTCTCTATAGGGTTTCTGAGGAGCAGCTGATGGGTTTGAACAGCTGATCTTTCCATTCGCAGCCCAGTGCTGATCCTACCAGGAGTAAGCTACATCAGGAGTAAACTACACCAGGAGTAAACTACACCAACCAGGAGTAAACTACACAAACCAGGAGTAAACTACACAAACCAGGAGTAAACTACACCAACCAGGAGTAAACTACACAAACCAGGAGTAAACTGCACCAGGAGTAAACTACACCAACCAGGAGTAAACTACACCAGGAGTAAACTACACCAGGAGTAAACTACACCAGGAGTAAACTACATCAGGAGTAAACTACACCAACCAGGAATAAACTACACCAGGACTAAACTACACCAGGCGTAAACTTCTATAGAATTCCCATTAATTAATTGAACAGTGGTATTTTTTCTCATTTTTTATAGACAGAGTTAGCTTTAACAACATATCTAAAATTAAAATATAGAAAATGCACTCACAACGATTGCTTTGTAAATGTTCTCTGTGTCTAACTCTCAGTAAACATTCCACATCTTTGATTGCTTTTCAGCTCTGACCTTCTGATTGTGTCCACTTGTCCACCTGCTTTGGATACATGAGAATGAGAACTAACCAGACGTGGATCTCAGAGGTCAACCTGTTGGGATTCCAGGTGGACCCAGAATTGGAATATTTCCTCTTTGGGCTTTTCTCCCTGTTCTACGCTTTCACCCTTATGGGGAATGGGGCTATCCTGGGGCTCATCTGCCTGGACCCCAAACTGCACACCCCCATGTACTTCTTCCTCTCCCACCTCTATGTTGTTGACATGTCCTATGCCTCCAACAATGTCCCCAAGATGCTAGCAAACCTTCTGAGTATGAAGAGAATCATCTTGTTTGCCCCATGCATAATGCAGACATTTTTGTATCTGGCGTTTGCGCACACTGAGTGCCTGGTTTTGGTGGTGATGTCCTATGACAGATACGTGGCCATCTGCCACCCCCTCCATTATACTGTCATCATGAACTGGAGGGTCTGCACCACCCTGGCTGTTACTGCCTGGATATTTAGTTTCCTCCTGGCTCTGGTCCACATTGTTCTCATCCTGAGGCTGCCCTTCTGTGGGCCTCACGAGATCAACCACTTCTTCTGTGAAATCCTGTCTGTCCTCAAGCTGGCCTGTGCTGACACCCGGCTCAACCAAGTGGTCATCTTTGCAGCCTGTGTGTTTATCTTAGTAGGACCCCTCTGCCTGGTACTGGTCTCCTACACCCGCATCCTCATCACCATCCTGAAGATCCAGTCCGGGGAGGGACGCAAAAAGGCCTTCTCCACCTGCTCCTCCCACCTCTGTGTGGTCGGGCTCTTCTTTGGCAGTGCCATTGTCATGTACATGGCCCCCAAATCCAGCCACCCCGAGGAGCAGCAGAAGATCCTCTCCCTGTTCTACAGCCTTTTCAACCCCATGCTGAACCCCCTGATCTACAGTCTGAGGAACACAGAGGTGAAGGGCGCTCTGCGGAGAGTGCTGTGCAAGGAAAGACCAACGTGAGAAATGTCTAAGAGCCATATGATGAGGGCTTAGGTTGAATGGGACATGGAATTTAGAATATGTTCCCATGTGCTGAAATAAATGCCATGAAATGCAATATTAGAGATCTAAACATAAAACTGCAATTATAATGTTTCTAGGAAAATCAAAGAAAATAACTTCATGACTTTGAGGTTGACATTGATTCTTAGATAAGACACAAAAAAACAATGTACATGAAGTCTGCAGACTTTCATGGTAAGCCCTAAAGACTCTGCAGGCCATATGGTCTCTAGTCTAACAACTGCCCCGTAATGACAACAGCTACAGACAATATGTCAACAGACGAGTAGAGCCGTGCTCCAGTAGAACTGCTTACAAACAAAGTCAGCTGACCACATTGGACCCATGGGAAGCAGTTTGCTGATTCCTTTCCACATCTGGAAGCTTGTCCAGTTCTGGTGGACACCAAGTTAGAGGTCAAACCTGGGTGGAATCCAGAGACTACTCCATGTAACTCCATTTGTTGAAAGGGAGATACTTGGAGGGCATTTGAGGACCACTCTTGTTGATGTTGTTGTTAGGTGCCATCCAGTTGGTTCTGACTCATAGTGACCCCATGCACAACAGAATGAAACACTGCCAGGTCCTGCGCCGTCCTCACAGTTGTTGATGACCTCGAGTCCATTGCTGCTGCCACTTGGCCAATCTAGCTCACTGGGGGCTCCCTCATTTCTGCTGACCCTCCACTTTACCAAGCACTATGTCCTTCTCTGGTAGCGTAGTGGTTACGAATCAGGCTGCGAACCTTAAGGTCAGCGGTTCGAAACTACCAGCTGCTCCGTGGGAGAAAGATGAGGCTTTCTACTCCCATAAAGATTTACACCCTCGGAAACCTTGTACAGGGTCACTATGGGTCGGAACCGACTCGACGGCACTTAACAACAACAACAACATGTCCTTCTCTTGGGACCGGTCCTTCCTGATAACATGCCCACAGTATGAGAGACGAAGTCTCACCATCCTGGCTTCTTCTAAGGAACATTCTGGCTGCACTTCTTCCAACATAGATTTATTTGTTCTTCTGGCAGTCCATATATAGGGTTTCCAAGGAGCAGTTAGTACTTTGTGGTTGTTGTTGTTGTTAAGTACCGTAGAGTCGGTTCCGACTCATAATGACCCTGCACAAGGTTTCTGAGGCTATAAATCTTTACAGAAGCAGAAAGCCTCATCTTTCTCCCGCAGAACAGCTGGTAGCTTCGAACTGCCGACCTTGAGGTTAGCAGCCCGATTCATAACCACTACACTACCAGAGCTCCTTAGTTGGTACTTTAGCAGGAGCTAAAAATGTTGCAAGGAAGCAGTCTAACTATCTAAATCTCTGGATAATGAAGATTTCTCAAAATAGATGAATCTTTGCCATGTAAAGAAAAGAATTATGTACATAGCTTAGGAGGACCCGAAACCTGAAACTTGGTCTGAAACTCAGTGTTGCCAGTCTCTTACTTTCAGTAATCTCAGAAAATTCTGCCGAGCATTTCTGGTGTCTGTGTTATTCTTTTTTCCCTTTCTGGTTTTCCTGAGGCCATTTTTAAACGGACATGCCCCTTGCCAGTCTTAAAGCACTATATAGTAAGTTCTTCTCCAATTCTCCCAGGTTCCTGTAGCAAAATATTCCACCGGTAAATTTCTCTGCATCATTTGATTTCAACTATTTCTTTGACATCTTCTTATAAGGAGACTGGGGCGTTTCCAACTTCCACTCATCTCAAAACATCTCTTTTTTAAAATAAGAATAAAGAAACTTGGAAATATAAAAATTAGTTTATAATGATAAACTTCAAGCTCATGACATGATGAAGTCCAAATCTCTAAAAGCAAACAAAACAAAGCAAAAACCAGAAACAAACCCCAAACTCTAAAAAAAAATCAATTTTATGATTTTTTGTTGCTGTTGTTAATGGGTCTTTCATACCGTAAATGGCAAAATAGTCGATATCTACAAATTCTAAATCAAATCTCTAAAAATATATAAGTTATTATTGTTATATTTCTCAGTCTTTCTTTGATAGCTATTTTACTGTTCTGATATTTATTTTTGTTACATTTTTCTATTTTCTTTCAATTGATTCTTTTGTTTTTTTACTAATCTTGTATTGAGCAATTAAACCCATTGATGTTAAAACACACTTTCTTACTATATTACTTTTCATTTTCAATTTGCTTTCTCGTGTGACTGTTATTTATCCATTTTGAAGATTACTCTTCTCTTCCTTGGTTTTGTAGTCTTCAGACTGGCACGTCTACTTCTGACCTCAATACCTTTGAAGTACTGATTTTGTATTTCTATGTTATGATCTGCTTTACCTTTGAAGTACTGATTTTGTATTTCTATGTTATGATCTGCCTTACCTTTGAAGTATTGTTTTTTAGTTCTAAGTCATAACCTGTCTTTTCCTTTGGAGAAAATCACTTTATCTGATTTTGCTTTAGCTGTCTCATTGCAATGATGTTCTCTTTTCACATTAATTTTGCCATTTTTGTGACCCTTACTTTTATCGTATGTTTTATTTAACTTAACACTAGTTTTTTTCACTTAGTTCTCTTTTTTGGATGTGTTCTTCTTGTTTGTCATATGCCAATATATTTATTTGACTTTTTCAGTCTATTTATAAGGCTTAATTTAAATTTTACTCCATGTGTTCAAACATATATTTTTGCAGGCAATTAACTACAATCTAGTTATTCATTTTTCATTTGAAACAGCAAAGTCTTTCAGAAGTTTGGCCACAATGGCCTGTAAGCTGGCATTCCCTTGGAGAAACTGGCTAGTCTCTTGGGTCACTAATGTGAGGGAAGGGCTAGCAGCCAGACTCTTGCTCAGGTGAGTCTGATGAGGAAGGAATGCTGAGAGGTACAGTAAACTGTGAGACTGAAATTTCCAGACCTTGGTAAAACTCAGCCAATCCAGTTCCATGCCCCACAGTAGACTTCAGCCCCTGGGGATGCCACACCCTAGAGACAGGCCTGGACTTTGATGTTCCAGCACTAGGTTTGGAGTATAGGAGTGAGAAAGTGACTCCCATCTGTCTGTCAGACCCTCCTCTGAGCAGCTTCTGAATGCCAAACCCTGTGCCTGGCTACTATCCACCATGTTTTCAGTCACCCCTGGACACAGAGGAGACCAGGACAAAGGCACCAAGCACAGAACTGCTGATTGGGGCACCTGCTCTGCACAACCTTACATCTTGTTGTGCTCTCTTGATGCGTTGGTTTTGTACACAGTCTGCACGTGAGTACAGCCTGGGTTGCTTTACAAACCGGCAGAGCCCAGGCCCTGTGCCAGATGAATAGAGTTAGAACTTCTGGGCGAAAGGAACTGGTCTTCCCAGAAGATTGCAATGCTCAGAGAGCCTGAAAGTCTTCGTTTGAATGGGCCTCTGAGGACCTTTGGTAGCATAGTGAGTGGATTACGCACTGGTCAGCAGTTCAAATCCATCAATCACTCTGTGGGAGAAAGATGAAGCTTTCTTTTCCTATAAAGACTTACAGCCTCAGAAACCCTATTTATATACCGGGTCTCTATGAGTCAGAACCAACTCAACAGCACTTAACAACAACAACATGTCAGTACTGGGACTTTATTGCCTAAAACAGCTTTTTAAGGAAAACCCTTTTCAGTGGTCTGGTAAGGACAGCTCCAAGACTCTTTCAAGCAGTTCTTCTGATTACATCTTTGTCATAAAGAAATACTCTTCCGGCCAACATTGTCCAAGACAGCGTTGCCAAAATCTGTTTGGGTAGAGTGTATTTCCTTCACCTTCTGTCTTAACTGTAGCAAGAAATTACTCCGTTGTTTTTATGGCGTCTATCAGTTAACATGGGCAGATAAGCGGGAGTTTGTGAGGGGGTAGAATCTGAAGCCAACATCGATTCCCAGGCAAACAAGTAAAAGTACAGTTTCATTCGGCAAGAACTGACCTTAATCCAATCCTTCACTTTGGCTCAGAAAGACTTTATAAGTTTCTCTTTTATAACTAGCAATAATCCATTTCCATTATAGACAAATTTAGTCTCATCATTTGGAATATTTCCTACAACCTATAAGTTATTTTTATGTATAAACGTTAAACTTGTGAATTGTTGCTATTTGTATGCCATGGAGTTGGTTCTGACTCACAGTGACCTTGCATAGGGTTTCCGAGGCTGGAAATCTTTACTGGAGCAGAAAGCCTCATCTTTCTCCCACAGAATGTCTGGTAATTTCAAACTGCTGACCTTGAGGTTAGCAGCCCAACAAGTAACCACTTCGTTACCAGAGCTCCTTAAACTTGTGGATACAGTCTAGTTCTTTTTCGGTTATTGAGTTCCAATTGAATTTCAAAGTATGAGACTGAATTCTCAGTGATTTCAGTCCCTCTAAATTCATTCAAGGAGCTCTGGTAGCGTAGTGGTTACGAATCGGGCTGCAAACCTTAAGATCAGCGGTTCGAAACTACCAGCCGCTTCGCGGGAGAAAGATGAGGCTTTCTACTCCCGTAAAGATTTACACCCTCGGAAACCCTGTACAGGGTCGCTATGGGTCGGAACCGACTCGACGGCACTTAACAACAACAACAACAAATTCATTCAGGTTTACATTATGGCCCACAATCAAGCTTTGTTGGTGAATGTCCTAGGTGCACTTCAGAAGGAATACATATTCAGCAATTACTGAGTGTAGTTTTCTTTCTTTCTTTTTTATTTTGAGGCTTAGGAATTGTCTCTTTAAAATTAGTAGATGTAGCTTTTGGTGTGTAGTTTGTTTTTTGTTTTTTTTAATACACCAGATCAATATGCTTAATTTGGCCGTAAATCTCTTGTCCATCTTTATTTTTTGTATTCATTATGTCCTTATTCTGTCAGTAACTGAAATGCATGGAATTCTGTTTTTAAAACTTTTGCAAATGAATGCTTTACATGTCGTGTAACCATATACTGGATGACTTTTTTGCTGTTGTTGTTAAGCACTGCCGAGTAGG